CTGTTCATGGATTGGAAGACTTCACATTGTTAAGGTGACAACACTACCCAAAGTGATCTACAGATTCAATACCTACCACAATCTTAATGGTGTTTTTGGTACATATAGAAAAACCCTTAACTGGGCACAGTGCCACGCGCCTGTGGTCCCAGCTACTCAGGAAGCCGAGCGGGAAAGGTCGCTTGAGCCCACGAGGTCGAGGCTGCAGTGAGCTGAGTTTGTGCCATGGCACTCCAGCCTGGGTGACAGAGTGAGATTCTGCTTCAAAGAAAAATAGGACCTATCCTGAACTTCATATGGAATGGCAAGTGACCCCAAATAGCCAAAACAATCTTGAAAAAGAACAAAGTTGGAGGACTCACACTTCCTCAAAACTTAACACAAAGCTACAAATAATAAAAAACAACGTGATACTGGCATGATAGGAAATAAAACATAATTCAAGAGAGCCATGAAATAAACCCTTGTGTATATTATCAATTGATTTTCAGCAAGGATGCTTGGACCCTTTGTCATGTTTGTGTCCCACCAAATTTTGTATGTTGAAGCCCCAACCCCCAAGGTGGGGAGAGTGGCTGTGAGGTGATATAGGTTAAATGAGATCATAAGGTGGGGCCCTAATGCAATAGGGCTGGTGCCTCTAAAAGAGAAGAGATACCAGAGATCTGTCTCTCTCCACCATGTGAGAACACAGCAAGAAGGAGGCCATCTGCAAGCCAGGAAGAGAACCCTCACTGGGAACTGAATAGGGTGGTACCTTCCCTTCCTAGCCTCCAGAATTGTGAGAAATAAATTTCTGTTGCTTATGCCAAGCCACCCAGTCTGTAGTATTTTCTTATGGCAGCCCAAACTGACTAATACATCATTCAATCGGAAAAAGAAAGTCTATTCAATAGATACTGGCTGGGCACAATAGCTCAGCCTGTAATCCCAGCACTTTGGGAGGCCAACACAGGTGGATCACTTGAGGTCAGGAGTTCAAGAGCAGTCTGTGCAATGTGGTGAAGCCCTGTCTTTACTAAAAATACAAAAATTAGCTGGGAATGGTGGTGCATGCCTATAATCCCAGCTACTAAGGAGGCTGAGGCAGAAGAATTACTTGAACCTGGGAAGCGGAGGTTGCAAAAAAACTGCAAAAGATCACTGAAAGAAGTTAAAGAACACATAATAAATGCATGGATCCGCCCATCTCAGCCTCCCAAAGTGCTGGGATTACAGGCGTAAGCCACCATGCCAGGACAAAACAGTTAAATAACGTATGATTCAGCTACTTCACTCCTAGGGATAGAGCTAAAAGTACTTCAAGTAGGGATTCAAAAACATATTTTTACACCAATGTTCACACTAGCACTACTTACAATAGGCAAGAACTGAACTCCAGCCTGGGTGACAGAGAGCAAGACTCCGACTCAAAATAAATAAATAAATAAATAAATAAATAAATAAAGATAATGCTGGGAAAACTAGTATCCACACACTAAAAGAAAAAAAAGAAGCTGGGCACTTACCTTACACTCTATTTTTAAAATTAGCTCAAAATGGATCAAAGACCAAAATGCAATATTTTTTTTTTTTGGAGACGAAGTCTCGCTCTGTTGCCCAGGCTGGAGTGCAATGGCGCGATCTCGGCTCACTGCAACCTTCGGCTCCCTGGTGCAAGTGATTCTCCTGCCTCAGCCTCCCAACTAGCTGGGACTACAGGTGCATGCCACCATGTCCAGCTAACTTTTGTATTTTTAGTAGAGCTGGGAGTTCACCGTGTTAGCCAGGATGGTCTCGATCTCTTGACCTCGAGATGCGCCCACCTCAGCCTCCCAAAGTGCTGGGATTACAGGTGTGAGCCACCACTCCCAGCAATGTAATACTCAGAAGTAAAAACTCGGCTGGGTGTGGTGGCTCATGCTTATAATCCCAGCACTTTGGTAGGCTGAGGCAAGTGGACCACTTGAGGTCAGGAGTTCCAGACCAGCCTGGCCAACATGGTGAAACTCTGTCTCTACTAAAAATACAAAAATTAGCTCGGTGTGGTGGCGCACACCTGTAATCCCAGCACTTTGGGAGGCCAACGCAGGGGGATCACCTGAGGTCAGGAGTGCAAAACCAGCCTGGCCAACACGGCAAAGCCCCCTCTCTACTAAAAATACAAAAATTAGCCAGGTCTGGTAGCGGGCAACTGTAATTCCAGCTACTTGGGAGGCTGAGACAGGAGAATCACTTGAACCTGGGAGGCGGAGGTTGCAGTGAGCCGACATTGCGCCACTGCACTCCAGCCTGGGCAATGAGAGTGAAGCTCTGTCTCAAAAACAAAAACAAACAAACAAAAAAACCCCAAACTAAACCAAACAAAAACTGAAAAACTCTTTGAAGAAAATATAATGGAAAAGCTTCACGACCGGGGACTTGGCCATGACTTTTTGCATATGACACCCAAAGCAGAGGCAACAAAAGAAAAAAAATAAGTGAATTAAACTTCATCAGAATGGAAACTTCTGTGCACCAAAGGAAACAATCAAGAGAGAGAAAAGGCAACCAACAGAATGGGAGAAAGTATTTGCAAATCATATATCTAATAAGGAATTCATATCTAAAATACATAAAGAACTCCTAAAACTCAACAACAAAAACTAAAGAGCCAAATTCAAAAATGGGCAAACTTGAATAGCGGTATCTCCGAAGAAAATATACAAATGGGCAAATTTGAACAGCGATATCTCCGAAGAAAATACACAAATGGTCAATAAGAACCTGCAAAGATGCTCAACATTAGGAAGACGCAACCCAAACCACGGTGAGACACTACTTCACGCCATTAAGATCCCTATTATCAAACAGGCAGAAGATATCAAGTTGGCAAGGATGCAGAACTGGAACCGTTGTGCTTTGCTGGTGGGGATGTAAAACAGCACAGCCGCTGTGGAGAACAGTTTGACCATGCCTCAGAAAGTTAAATCATTACCATATATATTTTTTTCTTTTGAGATGGAGTGTCACTCTGTCACCCAGGCTGGAGTGCAGTGGTGTTATCTTGGCTCACTGCAACCTCCACCTCCTAGGTTCAAGTGATTCTCCTGCCTCAGCCTCCCGAGTAGCTGGGACTACAGGCATGCACCACCATGCCCGGCTAATTTTTCTATTTTTAGTAGAGACAGGTTTCACCATATTGGCCAGGCAGTTCTCCAACTCCTGACCTCAAGTGATTCGCCCATCTCAGCCTCCCAAAGTGTTGGGATTACAGGCATGAGCCACCATGCCAGGACAAAACAGCTAAATTACCGTATGATTCAGCTACTTCACTCCTAGGTATAGAGCTAAAAGTACTTCAAGTAGGGATTCAAAAACATTTTTACACCAATGTTCACACTAGCACTACTTACAATAGGCAAAATGTAGGAACACCCAAGTGTCCAACAACAAATGAATGGATAAACAAAATGTGCTATATACATACAATGGAATATTACTTGGTTATAAAAAGTAATGGAGGCCAGGCACAGTGGATCACACCTATAATCCCAGCACTTTGGGAGGCTGAGGCGGGCGGATCACGAGGTCAAGAGATCGAGACCATCCTGGCCAACATGGTGAAACCTCATCTCTACCAAAAATAAAAAATTAGCTGGGTGGGGTACTGCGTACCTGTAGTCCCAGCTACTCAGGAGGCTGAGGCAGGAGAATTGCTTGAACCCGGAAGGCGGAGGTTGCAGTGAGCCAAGATCGCACCACTGCACTCCAGCCTGGTGACAGAGCGAGACTCCATCTAAAAAAGATAAAAGTAATCAAGGCCAGGCACAGTGGCTCATGCCTGCAATCCCAGCACTTTGGGAGGCCAAGGTGGGGATCACTTGAGGACAGGAGTTCGAAACTAGCCCAAGCAACATGGTGAAACCCCATCTCTACCAAAAACTATAAAAATTAGCCAGGCATGGTGGCATGTGCCTATGGTCCCAGCTACTCAAGACGGTAAGGTGAAAGAGTTGCTTGAACCTGGGAGGGTGAAGTTGCAGAGCCAAGATCATGCCATTGCACTTCAGCCTGGGTGAGAATAAGACCCAGTCTCAAAAAAAAAAAAAAAAAGAAATGAAGTTCTGAAACAGGATACAACACAGAGAAACCCCTTGAAAACATTATGCTGAATGAACTAAGCCAGACAGAAAGTAACACAGATTACATGTTTCCACACATATTTATGTTCCCAGAATAGGCATATTCAAAGAAACAGAAAATAGAATTGAGGTTACCAGCAGCAGGGAGAAGGGGGAAATGAAGAGTTATTGTTTAATAGGTACACAGTTTGTTTGGAATAATGAAACAGTTCTGGAAATACACAGTGGTGACACGAATGTACTCAATGCCACTGAATTGTACACTTAAAAATGGTTAAAATTGTAAATTTCATGTTATGGTTATTTCACCACAATAAAAAAGGCAACTTCAACTCTACTAAAATAAAAAGTATGAATGTTTGTTTCATTTATTTTTTGAGACGGAGTCTCACTCTGTCACCCAGGCTGGAGTACAGAGGCACAATCTCGGCTCACTGCAACCTCTGCCTCCCAGGTTCAAGCAATTCTCCTGCCTCAGCCTCCCGAGTAGCTGGGATTACAGGCGCCCACCACCACACCCAGCTAATTTTTGTATTTTTAGTAGAGACAGGGTTTCACCATGTTGGCCAGGATGGTCTTGGACTCCCGACCTCAAGTGATCCACCCACCTTGGCCTCTCAAAATGCTGGGATTACAGGCGTGAGCCACCACACCTGGCCGATGTTTTTAAATTTACAATATGTAAAAATGTTAAAATATGTGGTATTATCTTCAGTGTGAATTTTCTGATATTGAGGAAATAGCAAAAGTGAAGATCCTAGGTGCTGCAATGACAAGCATTGCAGTATTTTCTTTTTAAAATGCTCTCCAGTATGTCTCAAAGAAAACTTTCCTAAATCAGCAGCAATGAATTCTTTTTCTAAGTGGGGGAGATTACAGGAGCTTCTTTTTGCTCACTTTTCTCTCTCAATTTCTCTAAAATGAACATGCACTGCATTTGATTTAAGAAAAGAGGTTTGTTTAATGAGAAATGTCCTTTCACCCTATGAAAACATCGTGTGGATAATAAATAAAGGGCAGAGTCAGGTGCCGGGGGCGCATGCAGGAAGTGCTCAGCTGGACTCTGCCCTCAGACACTTCTCCACTGTTACACGGAGAAGTCCTCCCGGAGGTGAATCCGCTGATGCTGACACATGTTGGAACTGTGCCGGAAGGCCTTCCCACACTCACTGCACTTGTAGGGCTTCTCCCCGGTGTGGATCCTCCGGTGCTGAATCAAGTAAGTGCTCTGGCTGAAGGCTTTCTTGCAATCACTGCATTTGTAGGGTTTCTCTCCGTGGTGCAACCTCTGGTGGTGAATGAGTCTGGAACTGTTGTGGAAGGCCTTCCCACACTCGCTGCACTTGTAGGGCTTTTCTCCTGTGTGAATTCTCTGATGCTGGATGAGGTGTGTGCTCTGGCTGAAAACTTTGCCACAGTCATTGCATTCATAGGGCTTCTCTCCAGTGTGGCTTCTCTGATGTTCCACAAGTTTGGTTTTTTGAATGAAAGCTTTCTCACATTCATTACATTTATAGGGTTTCTCTCCAGTGTGAATTCTCTGATGTTGGATAAGGTTAGAACTTTGAGTAAAGCCCTTGCCACATTCCTTGCACTCAAATGGCTTCTCTCCAGTGTGAGTCCGACGATGGCGGATAAGGATTGAGCCATCACTGAAGGCTTTCCCACAGTCATTACATTTATAGGGTTTCTCTCCAGTGTGGATCCTCTGGTGATAAATAAGGGAAGAGTAGGCGCTAAAGTGTTTTCCACACTCACCACACTTGTAGGGTTTCTCCCCAGTGTGAATCCTCTGGTGCTTCATGAGGTTGGGCCTCCGGGTGAATGTCTTACCACACTCGTCACACCGGTAGGGAATCTCTCCTGAGTGCATCCTTCGGTGGTTGATGAACTCGCAGCTCTGGCTGAAGGCTTTCCCACACTCATCACATTTGTAGGGCTTCTCTTCACTGTGAAGCCGCTGATGCTTGACAAGGTTGGCACTGTACCTGAATGTTTTCCCACAGTAACTGCAATAATGCAATTTTTTCCCAGTAGGAATTTTCTGATCTTCTTTAACAACTAAGTTTGCACTCAAGATTTCCCCAGAGTCACGAACTGTCTTTGTTTTTTTTGACCTGTGTATGCGCTTATGGTTGTTGAGATAGGATCTCTGTTCAAAACTTTGCTCGCATATATCACATTTGTGAGGGCTCTGATCGGGAACAGGTCGTGACACCAACCTGAGGCTTCCCCCAGACCCCCTGCTGCTCTCCCCGTTGGTCAGTGTGACTGCCCTGGGGCCTCTCTGCTCCAGCTTTTCCAGGCTCCCCTCTGCCTTCCTGATGTGGTCACAGGCTTCTACCGGCTCAGATCCCTGGGGAAAAATCCCCCTCAGCTGGCCTAGTTCTTCCTTACCAAATGTCTCCCGTGAAGTCAACTCCTTGTACTCAGTTCTGGTTCCAAGAGCTGAAACAAAAAACAGAACATCTAAGGGTCACCTGCTCTGACTCTGGAAGGCAGGCATGAGATGCTGCTGGCCACCTGTGGTGTACTGATTTGATCATCTCCAAAGTCACAACAGCCTTGCAAAGATGAGAGTCTGGAGCTCAGAGGCTTATGCAGCTCACCTAGGGCCGCAGTCATGTAGCCCTTCACTCACTCACTCCTTCCTTGATTTGACACTCACACAACAAACTTCTCCTGGGTGGCCACTCCCCAAGAATGGGGAGTGACAAGCACCCAAGTGGGGTCCTGCCACATGGCCCCTCAGAGACTGATACCAGCAGCCACACTCAGGATTGATTAGTCCTGGCCCCTACTTGCCAGCTGAGTCACCTGAGGCAACAACTCACCTACCTTTCTGAGCCTTGATTTCTCCATCTGTGGCCACATGGCACTCATGAGAACAAAATAGAGTAATACAACAGACTGACCATGAAGAACTCAGCCCAGTGCCCAGCACAGCGAGTTCCAGGTGCAAGCATCTCATGACTGCCACTTTGATTACTGCTCCCTTCCTAGTCCTAAGGGGTCTATCCTTCCACCCCTTGCCTGGCTCCGCACCGCATACAAACAGGTGATGAACACCAATATCGGCCAAGATGTGCAGCAGACAGTGCTCACATACTGCTACAGGAGCCTGTGCTGGAGCTGCTGCTGTGGGGGACGGTTTGGCAACCTTATCTAAAGCTGCTCTATGAACATGCTGACTCAGCGCTCTGCTCGCAGGTACACACGCACCAGAAATGTATTCCGGGCACCGGAGAGATCCATGCACAAGAGCGTCCACAGCAGTCCTGTACAACCCCAAACCTGGACAACTGAATGTCCTCCACAAGTAGAAGGGAACATAAATTGTGGTATGTTCATACAATAGAACAATGGCAACCAAACAGACCACACTGCTGCTCCAAGAAACACAAGCAGCTCTCACAACGTTCAGCAAAAGATGCCCTGTGTGCGTCTAGACAGAAAAATCCAAAGGAGGAAGCGGCCTCTTGTGACAGGAGTCAGAAAGAAGACCCCTGTGGGGAGCAGTGGGAAATGACAGAGGAGAGCCAGGGAGCTCCTGGGGAGCTGAAACAGTCTGTATTTTAATCTGAAGGATGATTTTTCATAAAAATTCACTGAGTTATAAACTTACGGTTTGTCCTATTTCTACAGATATTTACATTCAAATAAGCAAATTTACAAAATAAGAAGTCCTTTGAGCCAGCAGTTCCTTCCTAGGATATCATCAGACACATGCAAAAAGGTGACCAGCAGAGCTATCCAATCTTTTGGCCTGCACTTCCAGTGAAGACATGACTGAGACTCACGCGCACAGAAATGGAAACACACTCCGTGTCTGCACGGCAGAACGCACTATCATTCCTGTTAAGAGGCAGTGTCAGCCAGGCATGGTGGCTCACGCCTGTAATCCCAGCACTTTGGGTGGCCAAGGCAGGTGGATCACAAGGTCAGGAACTTGAGACCAGCCTGGCCA